TTAGAGTATTGCATGGAGGGTCAAATCCTTAAATGATGCAAACTGGAGTTAATGGAACTATTGTGGTTTCATACCATAATTTTCATACCAGTCACAAGCCCTTTTTGAGACATTACTTTCACCTATGGTATATTAACCCTGTGACTGAAGATACCGTTTTATAAATAACTTGCACTTCTCTCTCGGGAGGGTTTTTTGCCACAATGAAACATAAAGGACAACTAAAAGGTGGAGCCAGGAAAGCCTAGCAAAGGGACCAAACAAATCCTACCCCTTACATTCAGAGAGCAAAATGATTATCAAGTTAAAGCCTGTAGGGCAGGGATTGGCAATATGTGGCCTATGGGCTGGATCCAGCCCATGGAGCCACTGGGCCTGGCCCCTGGAGCTGGAAGTCTTTGCCTTTGCCTATGCTCATGCCTCTGCTGGGGTGGGTAGTGAGGAGCTGCACTGAGGCCAGAGCCAGTTGGGAGCTGTACGCACACTGCTGCTGCAGTTTCTCCCCATCTCCTGCTCCTCTGCTGCAGTGCAAATGCAGCCTTCCAGCAGGTAGAGAACTGAGTGAAGACTTAGCAGCTTCCAGTTACACCTGTGCTGCAGTGGAGGGTGGTGCAGGTCACACCTTGTTAGACTCAAGGCATGCCTCTGAAAATGCCAGTTCTTAACTTACATTCATTTCTTGACTACAGAAAAATACTAGAGCCGTTCTTCTGTTCCAAAGAACTCAGAAATGCCACAATGAATCAGAATATTTTGACACTTTGGATTCCTGTTGGAAATCTCTTGATTTGTCTTGTGAATTATGGGTAGATGTTTACATCGAACAGTGCTAGTACTGCACGGACCCTCATGGCATCCAAAGGTGCCACAGCAACCTGGCTGAGAGTCACTGCTGTAGGGACAGTACTAAGAAAGTGTGGCAGCAGAATCCTGTTTCCTCTCTCTTCTCCTCCCCTCCCCATCCGCTAACTAGCTAGTAGAGCACATGTTAGCTACCACTCGGTTGCTAACCAGGGCTGCCAGAGTCCAAAAACGTGGGCATGTCTAGGACATGCTGCTGTAGGGGCTCCATCACCTATCTCTGTTGAAGTTTCATAAACTGGTTTGACCTGAATCAGTTAAGTCTGATACTACATCCAGCCAGCTTTATCTTAATCCAGTTTTGGCCATTTTGAAAGCAGCTTATGTGCGCTGAACTTCTGTTCTGTTACAGGTTTAAACTAGTTTCCAGTCACTTAAACCATTTTATGTGTAACTTCCGTCCCTAGTCATAATGGTGAGAGGAGTAGGTTTAGCACTATTGCCAAGACACCCCAGGTCATGGGAGCTTTGTGTAACAGGCATAGTTGATTTATTAATTGCTGATTTTCCAAAGTTTGTTCCACCTTTCCTTTTCTTCCTTGTGCCCAACAAAGCTTTCTTGGTTTTAAGACCTTGAATTCAATCATTGCAACAAGTATTGATCCAGAAGGGCACACAGCTGAGGTAAGTCAGTTTCCCAAGTTTTCTGGAAGCCAGCAAAGTGTTCATCTAGCAGGAAATGCTAGGCTATCTCTATCCCATTTTGATGGCTACAGCTTGGTGATAAATCTGAATGGTACCAAATAAAAATAGAAATGCTAAAGGAATGCAGAATATTTCATCTGATGTCAGACAAGGGAGAGGTTAGATTGTGGTTTAAACTAATACTTTGCCCACAACATAAGCATAAGATTGTTCTGTGAGTGTTCACTGCAACTTCCTCCACGTGACCTCCAAACCTTAGCCACACTGCTGCTACTGGCCGTACAGTTATGTCTCGCTCAGGCACTCTCACAGGTGTAGTTACAAGATAGAGAGGAACACTGAAAAATTCTGAGGTGCATTATTATTGTATTACTGAGCCAACTGAATTACTCAGCCAGTTGCACTAGTCAGTCCTTCATTTTCCCCTGGGCATCAGTCCAAGTAGGGAGAGGACTACACCACTTATATAAGCTGTATTTAAGCATTCACTGGTCTCCTCTATGCAGCTCCCCTGTATCGTTTCTCTGGATATATTTCCCTCCGTTCTTGCTATGAAAGGGAATACAAAAGCTTTGGTAATTGGGCCCAATAATTCAGGAAGGCATTTCAGCATAAGGATAACTTTCAGTGCATGAACAGTCCCCATGATTTTAATGTATTTACTGATTACTCGTGTTTAAGTACATTGCTGAACTGAGTGCACATCGTTTATTTGTTCTATATCTTTTTCTATCTCATTTCACAGCCAAGTTTTTGTTATCAGCAGCAATCAGCCTACACAGTAACAGTTACCAAGTTTTGCTGCTTATAAAAAATGAATACTATAATTTGATCAGGTTATCCAAGTGATTATTGTATGCAGATGTTTAAGTCTAGGTACACTCAGTCCTAGTCCAGAGCAGCTGGGCTTGATTAGATGATCTCCTGAGGTTCCTGCCACCCCTACATTTCTATGACTGGCTTGAATTAATTCCACATCAGGGTTGGCAGGAAAGGGGTAGTGGACCCAGATAGAAATGTTGTAGAAAATACTTGAGGAGTTATATAAGGACTTCACTGCACTGCGTCAATTCTCCTGTAAAACAAGCCCTGCTCACTCCTGCTTTGCATGCTCTAGCTCCTGAAAATGAGGCCTTATATATCTGCCTTACAGCAGCTTTGACCATGTGCCATGTAAAACAGAGATGGTCAGAGTAGCTCTGAGCACATATTCAGGGCTGTTCTAAAGTGGCTCCATTGCCTTAAGTCTGCATTTGTCTTGGCATCCTTGTCCCGCCTGGCTGGGTCTGTCATACAAGATTTTTTCAGAAGGAACCTGGTTCATGTGTGTAGGGAGCAGAGAGAAATCAAACACCTGTTTTAAAATAGATCTTTACCTTTTAAAATGACAAAGAAGGAAATAAAAAAATAGAAAAATAGAAAACCTTGTGTCTAAACCAATTTCTCAAAAGGTATTGGTCTGGATTAAGGCATCAGATGGTGTCACCTTGAGCAGACAGCCATACTGATAAGTTTAATTAGAAGAGATGTGTTGTATCTCATGTTTTAGGTTATTTGTTCACGATACTAAGGAGGTAGTAGACCTGCAGCTCCCTTTCTTAATGCATGAAGAGGGATTTCCTGATAAGGGTGCCTTAACTTTATACTGATTAAGTCAGTAAGTAATCTGTCCCCAGGAGCTTGCCCATGTCTCCAGGGCCACAGAAATATCTTAAACAGGTAAAAGGTTGTGCTTCTACTGCAAATGTAATGGGGCTTGATTCTAGATTTGTGCAAGGTATACCCAGTGACAGGGCCTGGTTGGAATGAGAAAGAAAAGATGCCAGATCTTTCGCTGTGTGTACTTCCATTCTCCCCCTTGTGCTTAAGGCAGAACACTGTCATTTCACTCAAGGAACCTCTGTGGAATGACATCAGAAATACACAACTGGCTTAGAGGGAGGAATCCTAGCATTTCCTCATACTCTTTCCTAACTAGTACAGCTACTGGGTGCTGGCTTGATGACTTATCTCTTAAAAGGTAGAGCATACATTGAGGACAACCAAGCTAAACTGCTCCTATAGCAGTAAGGTAATGACCAATTCTCTGGGCCCAATTCTTTCCTCATTTACATGGAATTTTCTCCTAATGAAAGCAACAAGAGCTAAAAATAATTCAGCATCTCTTAAGCCCTGACACTACTCTTCACTTAAAAGTTATTCCAATTAATTTGAGGACAGAATCTGACCTAAAACTTTTAAAAATATCATACTGTCACACTGCTATAAATTGGGAGTTGCCTCTAAGTCAGAGTTACACCAGTGGAGAGCCAGAGTAAGTGTGAACAGTGACAGGCCTGGAACCTAGGCAAAGCACTTCAGTGCAGTTCTTCCCTGTGCTCCTTCAAAAAGTCATCCTTAACTCTATACTGTAGCCACCAGGTCATGTTCACTGTCAGTGGCCGCGTCTACATGAGTGGCAGACTGAGCAGTTGTTAAGCACTGCGCATACATAAGTAATAAATGACTGCGCAGTATCCAGCATTACTGTGCAGTACCATCACCACACTTTTTTTTCCCAATGCACAATACGCACAGCGGCAATGACCTACTAAATAATTATTTAAAATTAAAATAAATAAATAAAATAATTTGTTTCCAAATATCTATTTGGAATAATAAAAGATATCACCTCTTCCATGGGTTTTGATTCCTTTTACATTTTAGGGAAATACTTTTATGTCATTACGACAATTTTAAACAGTCTTTAGATTATTGAACAAAACTGCTTGTACAATTCTAGATAAATTTTGGAAAACAAAAGCTTGGTAAAAGATGTAAAGGAGAAGTTTTAATATAATATAAAAATCATGCAATTATAACAATTTTAAATTCTTGAAAACACTCGTACAGAGGCTTAATGATAGGAGGATTAAAGGAGAGGTTGATATTTATTATTGTGATTTTTAGAGGAAAATATTTTACACAGTTAGCATATTCATAATAATGTCCATTAAAATTGCATAGTGTTATAACTGTAGAAAATACTGTTCTCTAAAATGGAGGAAAACACAACTATATAATAGCTGTAATGACTTCTTTATTTCTGTCATTACAACCTGGTACAACTGTTTAGTGCCTTTATTTAGAATTCACTAACTGCATAAAACACATAGATTTCTCTAAAAGTACCTAAAATAGATTTAGCTAAAAATCTAAAAATAAGTCTCCTTATATGCATGTACAACATTTTTTTATTTTGGTCATCATGGATTCACTGAAACATATGCTAACTGCATGCAAAGCATATTTTTCTCCTAGAAATGCTTGTTTTCTCCAGGTATTTTGTTATTCTATCATCAAGGCTTTATTTGGAAGAAGATTAATTTCTCAAAGTCCCTTAACATGAAGGGAGGTATGAAATCTATATTCGTTTTATTTTTAATGCTTCATAATATGAATACATTATTTTAAAGGATTTTTTCCCAAAATAGTCAACTGTATCAAATATAAACATGTCCAAACATGATACCAAGAACTTGTCAGAAAGAGGAGAAAGTGACAGGACAAAGGGAAAAATGGAATACTACAATGTATCCAAAAATTCATGGGGACCAAATGTTCTGTAGCTTCTCTCCACCTTCTTTACTTGGCTCAAGAGGGAAACACAGCTGAGGATTTGATCCTGAATGTCCAGATGCCCAAGTGGAGACAATGAGGCTGAGAGACCTGTGAAAGGAATGTATTAGAACTGGTTGGACCAGGTCACCTGCTGGTATCTCTAGAAGTAACTTTCCATACCAATTAGAGTTTCACCTCAATGCCCCAGTTGAGAGTGACCCCTCTCAACCTCCTTATGAATTCAAGCAAGAAAATAATGCAAAAAGAGGCGGAAACTAAATAGATTCTGGGAAATGGTAACATAAGAAGTCCAGAGAAGAAATCGATGAGACAAATTCTGCACGGGAATTCATCTAGAGCAGTATCTTGCTTGATGACCATGTCATGGCTTGTTGCGTACCCATAGAGTAGGCAGACTCATTTCCAATTCCGGTAGGGTGGCAAAATCTCTTTCAGAGGTTCTTAATGGTTTTAGACACAAGGCACCCTTGGAAAATGCCAGTTCTTTGCTTTCACTTGTTTTTTGCTATGGAAAATGGAGCAATTCTTCTGTTGCAAAGAATTCAGAAAGAACAAAACAGGTCAGAATGCCTTTGACACTAAGGATTCCGTCTTGAAATCTCTGGGTTTCTCTTTGAATCTTTGCAGATCGAATATTGCATGGCACCCTTAAAAAGTATTTCCTGGCACCCCAGAGTGCTGCAACACCCTGAGTGTTGGCTCCAGTCTTATGAGTGTCAGTTTGCAAACGGTTAAACATCTAATTTCTTATTTTGGTAAGCTTTCTTTTCTGACTGGGACGCGGCCCATGCCAGATGTCGTTATATTCCTTTCTGAAGGTGCTCTGTCCAGTGTCAGGGAAAAACCACAGCAAAGATCTGAAATGGAAAAAAGGCCCTGCTGTACTTGATTGAGCCCCAAGGCCATCTGATCTGCCTTTCGGTCTCCCCACTGCTTAACTCACAGGAAACAGAATGGGGAAAAACCATCACTACCTGTGACAATCTGTCCCCCTGCTTTGCCATAACCTTTTGGACACCTCCTGTTTTGTTTTTACCCCTTTTCTGCCATGAATGTTGGACACTCCTGCTATCCCTATCCCTAATAAACCTGCTAAACTGGTTTAGCAGGGATAGGGATATACCCCTGTCCTCCTGCCCCCCTTCTCAACCTTTTAAAACTTGGGATTCTCCTCATTAGACTTGGGGACCACCTCAGAAGATGCCATCGCTTAGTTTTCTCTCATTTTTTTGACTACAGAAAAATACTAGAGCCCTACTTTGGTTGCAAAAAGCTCATCAAGCCCACAGGAGGGTGGATGGGTTTTTTAACCCTCTGGGTTTCTATTGGAAATCTCTGGGTTTGTCTGGTGAACCTGCTTGCACACCTAGCCATGCTTACACTGCATGGGACCATGCAGCACCCTTGAAAGGAACTTGAGATGCCCCAGGGTGCCCCAAATACCCTGCCTGAGAACCACTGCGCTAAGGCCAACGCTTTCAACCTGGCTGGAGTAGCTTACTCCTTGTGGCACCCTTCCCGTGGATATGTGTGTGGGGAGGGGGGTATATGGGTGTGTGTGTGGGGGGGGTGCGCATATTTGTGAGGGTGTAGGTGTATGTGTGTGTGAGCTGCGTATGTATGGGGGTGTCTGTATATGTGGGAGGGTATGGATGGATATATGTGGAGGGGTGTGAGTGTATGTGTGTGTGGGATTAGTGGTGAGGTGGGGGTATGTGTGAGGAGGTGTCAGGGTGTGTATATGTGGGGGGTGTGTGTGTACGTGGGGGGGTGGGTGAGGGTGTGAGTGTATATGTGTGCAGGGGGTGTGTAAGGGAGGGATGTATGTGTGAGGGTGCAAGTGTATCCATGCGGGGGGTGATATGTATGTGGAGGATGTATGTGTGTAGGTGGATGCATGGGGGTGTGAATGTATATCTGTGTGGGGGTGCATATGTGGTGATGTGGTGGATGTATGGTGTGGGTGGGTGTGGGAGGGTGTGAGTATATACGTGTGGGAGGCTGCATATGTGTGGGGCGTATGTTTGTGTGGCTGCTTATGTAAAGGAGTGGGTATCTTGGAGGGTGGGGGTGAGGGTGTGGGTATCTGTGAGTGCAGGGAGTGCATGTGTGTGTGTGTGTGAGGGTGTGGGTGTCTGTGAGTTCGGGGCAGTGTGTGTGTGCGTGCATGCGTGTGTGTGAAGGTGTGGGTGTCTGTGAGTGTGGGTGAGTGTGTGTGAGGGTGTGGGTGTCTGAGTGTGGTAGAGTGAAACTCTATGAAACTGGATGCTTATCTTGCTGGGATCCTATGACCCCAGCTGACTTCCTGCCCTTTGGGCAGGGGGCTGGACTCGATGATCTTCCAAGGTCCCTTCCAGCCCTAATGTCTATGAAATCTATGAGTGTGTGTGTGGGTGTGTGTGTGTGTCTGAATGCAGGGCAGTGTGTGTGAGGGTGTGGGTGTCTGTGAGCTGGTGGGAGTGAATGTGTGTGTGTGTGTGAGGGTGTCTGTGTGGTGGAGTGCGTGTGTGAGGGTGTCTGTGAGCTGGTGGGAGTGCATGTGCATGTGTGTGTGTGAGGGTGTGGGTGTCTGAGTGTGGTAGAGTCCGTGTGTGAGGGTGTGGGTGGGTGTCTGAGTGCAGGGCAGTGCGTGTGTGAGAGTGTGGGTGTCTGTGAGCCAGTGGGAGTGTGTGTGTGTGTGTGTGAGGTTGGGGTGGGAGTGTGTGTGTGTGTGAGGGTGTGGGTGTCTGTGAGCTGGTGGGAGTGTGTGTGTGTGAGGGTGTCTGAGTGTGGTGGAGTGCGGGTGTGAGGGTGTAGGTGTCTGAGTGCAGGGCAGTGCGTGTGTGAGGGTGTGGGTGTCTGTGAGCCGGTGGGAGTGCGTGCATGTGTGTGTGTGTGTGTGTGTCTGTGAGCTAGTGGGAGTGTGTGTGAGCTGGTGTGTGTGTGTGTGTGTGTGTGAGTGAGGGTGTGGGTGTCTGAGTGTGGTGCAGTGCGTGTGTGTCTGCGAGCCGGTGGGAGTGCGCGTGTGAGGCGGGGAGAGCGGCTGTGGCTGTGTGACAGGCGGGGTCCCTCACGCCCCCGGGCGGGCGCTGGGCGGGCTCAGACACCTGCCGGGGGCGGGGCGGAGCGGGCGGGGATCGCTCCCAGCCGCGCAGACACACACACACTCAGACACGCAGACGGGCGGGGACAGC